ATTTTTATGAAGTATTTTATGAAGTATTCGTATATACACCTCAATCTTCCTCGAAACTACGCATTTCAGCACATTCCGAACAGTTTCGGATCGAAAAAACAAATTGGGCCAACCTTTGTAGCAGAGATCCACGCTTCCATCGACGTTAAAGAGGGCTGGCCGCAGGCAGAAGCAGACGGTGCAGCGACGAGATTTCATGACATTCATATAGGTGCAGTCCGGGCACGGCCATCGCTCCTCCACCGATTCCTCGTCGCAGGCCGAGGCCGAGGTGCACGGCGGATTGGTGATGAAAAGTGAGCGCGGCGCACGACACATGGTGCACGTGGTCGCCGCCTGATAGTTAGCATAGGTACACTGCGCACAGGCCCATTTCTCGGCCATCTCGTTCGCCATGGCACACTGCAACGAACAGACCGAAACTGCGGAACACACACAATATGCATCCAGCCGACTCGAGCAAATACGAGCGAGTAGTAACCGGCAAGCCTCATGTGCCTCCCACCCTCCCATCGAAGTCGGAGGTTCGCCTGAAAAGTGTGAACTCGCAGCTTAACAGCTCTATTAAACCTGCACTCTATGGATGCAGGAATAACATGGTCCTGAACACCGCAGCACAGCAACTTGCCTGATCAGCCAGCCCTGGACAGAGACCCTGCGCACGAGCGACTGGGTGCCACAGCTCTCGAGCCTTACGAGCTGAAGAGACCAGGACCGTTCGCCCGCCACATATGTTGTCACCCTCCCGAATCGCAGTGGGCAAAGTACACGCAGCGCCTTCAAAAACAAATTACACCGACGCAAAAGGGAAAGCGAGCGAACAGCAAAGATGCCCGGGCAGGCACTTCGCCCCCTTTTGCACAACGAGAAAATTATTTTGTGTTTTCCGAGCACATCCTCCACACACAAAACTGAAGTCCACTTCGGTCACCCAAACACCGACTCCAGAGACCGTCATGTCGGCAAGCCATTCAAGTGCACCGCTGCCCCACTTCACCCACCCACAGGGCAATCGCCTCCGCAACAGCACACAATGTGCATCTGTCGTGTGGTTCGGACTGGAGTTGCGAAGATCATGGTACGAAGTTTCCTGCCTGAACAGGGTGCAGACGTCGCTCCTAAGACTGCTAACTTCCCCTCAGCATCAAGGTTAAGACTGCGCATGAAAAACTCGTATGGGCACCCTGCCTAGGCAGGATCTCAGATCCTTTGCAGTCAGTGACTTTCCCCCATCACCACCTCGAGCTCTCACACCCCTGCCTCCATCTCTTCCCCTTCCATCACTCACTGCGATTTGCTTCCCGACCCGGACAGGCTCACTTCTAGTAACTGCCAGGGCACTCTGGACAGCAAATATCAGTACACTTTCTTGCGCCATTTGGTTTCTTGTTTTGCGTCATAAAGCCACGTATCCTCTTCTCTGCCCGTGATTCCTGGCCGCGCTGTTTCCAAGTTCTACCCCTTGAGCAAGGTCCCAACTACAAAAAAAGGCTCCG